GCCCCAGGCGCCGGCCCCCGCAGAGTCGCTGCGCCGCGGCCGCCGGAGGAAGGTCAAGGTGGGAGCGCCACGTGCGGCCGCGGGTGCGGCCATTTTGTACTTGCGGGGCTTAAATGGGGCTGGGGCGGGCAGGGGGAGGAAGGGGCTCCCCCGTGTGACCGCGGCTTTCCCGCAGCAGGAGGAGACGCCGGAGAAGAAGGTGAAGCGACAGGTGAAGGCGAAGCGGCGCGGTAAGACCGAGGCCGAGCAGGCGCAGCCCGAGGAGAGCGGGCTGGGGGACGGCGAATTGGAGCCCCCCGTGCCCAAGAAGACGAAGAAAGTCAAGGGGAAGAGCAACGGCTTGGTGGGAGAGAACGACGCGTCCCAACAGGTGGTGAAATCTTCCTCCGCTGTGAGCGGCAGCGTGACATCCCCGGCTGCCGGAGAGCAGGACAGCGACGCCGAGGTAGGGCTGCTCTGCCAGCAGAGCCTTTGGCTTGGCTAATTAACGTTCTGCTAGTAATCAGCGGGCTTAATAACACGCAATGTGCGCTGTGTGGAGACTTGAGCTGCGGGACGCTGTGGGAGCACGAGGCATCTGTGGCTGGCACATTTTGCTGCTGCCCGCCCCAATTGGGTGCGCGGCACTTGGTCCTGGGCACCGAGAATGCCGGGCATCCCACCGCTCATCCTGCCCGGCATCCTGTGGCGAGCGAGGCTCGGCAGCAGCAGCGGGGAGCTGCTCTCCACGTGCTTTCCCCCTGGAGGTAAATGCCAAGCGTTTGGTGCCGCGTGTCCCGCAGGGAAGGCGGCTGGCTAGGGGAGCGGCTTCCGTGTGTGCCACTCTTGGTGTTGTGAAAAGCGAGGTTCGCATGTTTTTTATATAGAATTTAAAAGTTTAATAGAAAGACAACTAGGAGATAAAAATAAAGTATACACTTATGGCTAGATGCCTCTGCATTCAGCCAAGAGAGCACACCTTACTGACAAAGGATTGTCCCTTAAAAACAGAACCCTACTACATATCCATAAATTCCCATACATATTCATACATCCTTCTTAAGTTTTTGATGTTCCTTTGTTTAGTTTTTACCTTGCCCCCTTCCCAATAGATCCATCTTCTTGGTGCCACGGTGTTCTCCACCCTCCAATAAGGATGTAATAAATCCTTCTCTTGGAGATCTTGGAGGACAAGATAATTTTAAGAGTGCGGGGAGTGGGGTCTCTGACCATCTTTTCAGTCTCTGGGTTATATAAACAAAAAGTAGTTTGTGCTTTAATATCATGTTATAGCTTAATATATATGTGTATTATACTACTATTTCTAAATTTCATCAATAACAGAAATAAAAGAAACTGTATTAGTACAACAGAGTTTTCTAACCTTATGCATAACATTCATTATAATATTTGTGGAAAGCCAATAACATAATATGCACTTACAACAGTGTCACAGCTTGTTTGTGTCCCACAGCACAAAGCTTTCTCCCTGCTGCCCAGGCAGCCACTGTCCCAGAAAAGTGCCGTGCTTCGTGCAGTGATGGTGCATTCTCTCTCTGATGAAGTGTTGGCAAAGTGTTCTGTAATGGAGAGCCACAGTTACGTTCATTAATTCCCACTTGTCACACAAAAGTGCAAGGGGGCCCTGTGTAGGACCTTTCTGTCGTGAGTAGTTTTGTGTCTAAGGAACCTGAATCAAGAGAGTGCTTTTTGTACCTCAGGTGTAACGATGTGACCTACTGGATCTCTGAAGTAAAAGCCAAATCTCGTGTTTTAACTATTTACTCATGTGTAAAGTTCAAAGCTCTTTTCATGGTGTACCACATAGGTGTCTTCTGGAGGGAAAATTCTGCTTTGCGCTGTGAATTTTGACACCAGATATGTTTTGTTGTGAAAAACAGTTTTCTCATTGTTTCAGAGGACTCTAATTAAGATTTTTAACAAAGAGTTTCCATTTCCTGATTTGCCAAGCATGTATGTACAGGTGCCTACAGCAGAAGAGTTTTCTTTTTCATTAAATTGAACAGAGGTATCTGGTTAAGTTGTGGTTGTAAAGCAAATGCACAGCTTTTATTAAGTGACTGTGTAGGGTATGTTCTGTGCTCATCTTGGAGGGCTACTAAGTCTTTTTTCTGTTTGTTTTTTATCCTATTAGGAGTTGACAGAAGAAGCAAAAGAAGGCGCCTTCTCTAATTTTCCTCTCTCACAAAGCACTATCAAACTTCTCACAGGTTAGTTCACGTGGTAACAGACATTCCTGTAAACCTTTGTGCTCTGTTACCTGCAAAAGCCAAGGGTAAATGGTCCTAAATTGTGTTATATTTGTATGGTAAGGATGACCTCAGCAGTCACTGTGGATTCAGAGATGCTGTTGTTAGTAGAAAAAAGTTTTCTGACTTGTTCAATTTCAGATGCCTTATGATGAGATTATTCTTCATGGAATGGTTATTCCTAGATAAACATTCTAGAGACAAATTTCTCATCAGCATCATTCTGTTTATCTTTACTTCTGTTCCTATGTCTGCTGTCTACAATAGTGCTTCTTAGACAAGCCTGATGGAGTTTTGTATGTGTGGCATTTTCACTTCCACTGTGCAAAAATCTCTTTGAAGTTTTAGAATGTTCTGAAACAAACTCCATCACCTTCTTGCCTTCAAAACCCAGTTACCACAAAATCTTGAGCTGTATCAGAAAAAACATGTTGGGTTTTTTTTCCTTCCTCTCCTGTTGTCTTAAACTGTACATTTCAAAGAAGATTGTATTTCATGGTGGATATGTAACACTCACCGTGTGGGTGGAATATCTTTTGATCTAGAGTAGAAATAAAACATAAAGATACGTGGTTTTCTTCTAAGTTGCAATTTCTGTTGTGTACAGGA